ATTTAATTCCTTATATTAAATAGGGGAACTTGTGGGTCAATACATTGGTTTCGCAGACCAAAACAAATGTCATAACTTTCTTTAGTTTATTTGATCAACCCTCACCCTCAATTCTTGTGTTCATCCTTCGGGATAGATACAGGATTTGAGGTAAAGTGCTCTTTCATCTAAACTATGAAAATTATGGGGTCAATTTGACTTCATCTTTTTCAAAACTAAAATTTTTAAAAAAAAACGTCCTTCCGAATCGGGCAATGGGATTTCAATTCCGATGACCGACAGTTTCTTACGGGCAAACCCCACACCAAGAATAGTGCCGACAACCACTTTGAAGAGGATATTCACTAAGCTCCCTGGGTCGATGAGGATGCTTAATACCTTGTAATCATAAATCAAAGTTGTGATGATAATTGTGTCCTTGTAGGTACAACATTTTTTCAGTGGGTTTTCATCAATGAACACGTTGGAAGGGATGGCTTGCTCACCATGGTATGAGAGTGGTGGTGCATAGTTTTCTCGATCGAACTTTCTTGAGGCTTGAATGATGGGAGATTCACCACCCCCTCCAAGTAAAACTGGCATTATTCATGCAATTCAAATGGTGTTTGCAGCAAAAGGGTTCATTCGACGCACTATCAACTAGAGCTTCTCTTTGTCTATGATGATTTGTTCCAACAGACACAAAATCTATTAGCCTATTGACCTTGATCAAGTCTCAAAGAGGCTTCTGAGGTGTCAGCATTTTCTATGTTGTTGCCATGTATTTTGTGGTAGGCTCATAACTTGTTCAAATTTGAATCAAACTTTCATTCGTCATCGGCCAAGGTTTCTTGAAGTATTCCTTATCTTGCATGGTCTCTATGAGTTGAACCATTGAAATTCTCAGAGGGGTCATTATTAGTGGTTCCTGTTGTGTTGCAGGTCTTTCAATATGGTGGGTCAATCATTGGTTAGGGTATTCAGACCATCTATCTCTATTGTTTCTCTTAGTGTTCCTCTTATTTTCATGGTATGGATAGTTGTTTTCATAGTAAGTGCAAGTGGGAGGGTGATGATCATCTTTATCTCTCCAACCGTCTTCTGTCAATGGCCTCTTCTGGGACTGAGAATCAGAGATGGCTTTTCAAGCTTATTCTCAATCGTTGAAGGCATACTCCTCTATAGTGATATTGTGGTTTGTCATTTCTAGTAGCATGACCATTGTTTTTGGCTCGCATAGTCCTAGAACATACTTGAACTGTTCATTTTTTACACCTTGCTTTAGAGTGGTTTGCGCGATCAGGGGTTTTAGGATTCAAATCTTCAGTATTTCTTGATGGAATCTCATATTGTATGAATGAAGCGACTCTCCCTCTTTATGTTTTATCTATAAGAGAGCTTGGGACTTCTTTCATGGCATCTACGAGCTAATAAAGTGGGCTATAAATAACCTTTTGAACTTGAAGAAAGATGGGATAACTCACATCAGGAAACCATTGAATTATCGGAGGACTTATTCCCTCAACATGGTAAGGAACAAGTGACACGTGAATGTGTCAGTGATTTTCAATATACCAACCACCGACTCGAAAGTGGTTATGTGATCAGTTGCGCCGATGAGCCCCTCATACAATCAAGCTTAGGGGTTTTGAAGTTTTGTGGAGGTTCAGCCTTAGAAACGCGCTGAGAGAAGGCATTTTCAGTATGGCAAAGAGCTGTGATTGGCATTGTGCATTGTCTTTTCACGGGGTTGAACCGACACTATCATGTTAATCGGAATCATCATCCCTTTCTTCTACTGTTTGATATTTTAAACGGTTGGGCACTGGTCCATCTCGCATATCATTGGTTGTTGGTCCATCCCGATGATCGAGCTCTTCACTGTTATGTTATTGGGGGTTTCGACTCTTTGTATTTTGGCTTAACTTAGCTAGAGCTTTTTGAAATGAACCTACAATATGCTCTCTCTCATCTCTAGCATCAATTGTTCTTTCATCTTCATTAATTACTACCGCACACTCTCTCTCATGTTATTCACATCCATCACATGGCTCTGCACTACTTGAAAAGTTGGTTAGTTATGGTGTTGTGCTCCTCTTTGTGTGAGTGGCATGATTCCACACTCACAACACATTTTATGAGGTTGAACCTAAAAGTGTCTGTGGAATTAAACCCAAGGAATAGAGCGTGAGGTTGGAAGAGGATAGGAAGCAAACAGGAAGTGAATAGTAGAAAATAAAGCATCTAACATATTTCTCATGAAATTTTCACCTCTTTATAGGTATAGGAGATACCTGGAGTAAATAATTACATCTAAATCCCCCTCCTATACAAAGGGCATAGAGATATCAAGGTCATTTGTACAATATAGAAACAATTATTAATTTATTAATAAAGAGTTTGCTAGCCGATAATGAAAATTTTCGATTGTCGGTTCATGATCATTCATTTGATGAGAGCAAGCCGAGTCACGTGAGGACGACACAGATGCCTCCAGACTAAATTAAGCTTTGGGTTGCTTTGTCATACGATACATCTCTTTTAGTTTGTAAGGCAATGAGCCATCCTGCGTTTGTGTCGTTGTAGAGTCATTCTTCGATTGGCTTGTCATAGAATTGTCTTTCCCTCAGTCGGATGTGAATTGATTCTTCGTTCGTTACATGTGTCGGTAGGCATATCAACTGATGGAAACAACGTTTTAGATCCTTTGAAGGTCATTTTTCCTTGGCTCAGCATCACTATGTGATATTCGATAAAATTAATTAACATTTGACAGACTTGTGTGACTTGATCGTGAGTCCCAAATTGTTTGTCATGTATCTATAGTTTTCCTCGAGATTCGTGTTGTTGATATCCTTTTGTGCAATGCCATTCATTTCTTATGTATTTATGAATATATAACACCTAAACATCAATTTTTGCATACATAGCACGTTACCTCTGCATGAGGCGTATTCATCATTTTAATTAAATTGTGGTATTTTGATGTGGCATTAAAAATTTGTATGGTATAAATGTAAAACATAAAGTTTATGTGTTAGATATGAAAATATTTGGGAATTTGATGGTATGTATCTAGATGCCCCTTACCATTATTTGTAAAGTAAATTATTAGGTGCTTACTTTTTAGCAGCACGAGCATTCAATACGAAAAGTTTTTGTTTGAAGGTGCTCTAGGGGTGTAAATAAGCAAATCCGACTCGCGAGCTGGTTCAAGCTTGTCTCAATAAGTGACTCATGAACTAAGCTTGACTCGGCTTTGCACAAAAGGATAAACTAACAAGCTAGCCCAACTATATGAAATCTAATTTAAAATTTAGTCAAAATTTCAAAA